TCTATAGTACCTAATGAATTATAATAAACAATCTAACTTAACTATGGATACGGAAACACAAAAAGCATATTTATTTTGCAATGTGATATCAGTAAAAACAATTAACCGATTAATAATTCTGCAAATTAGTAAATAACAGCTCTGTTTAATGCTTAATCTACTTATTCAATTTTTTCTTTGTTTGAAGTTACCGTGGAATCGAAAAAGAAATTATCTAGTATTCAATCTCATAAGCGCAAATCTGCGAAAGATTAAATTAACTATTGGGCATTGTTGACGAATAATTGCGAGCTGATTTAGTTGAAATGGAACTTGTTAAAAAATATAAACAAAGTATAATCGGGAAAATTAAAAATGGGGTGTCAGTGCTTAGAAAATGGCATGTTTATTCCGAGAAATTAAATTGTAACTTTCGCTTTTGTTGCAAATGCTTCGCTTCTGATGAATTTTGAATGTTGAAGACATGCGTCGTTAGGGTTATGGAAATGGAAAAAATATGAAAATGGAAGCAAAATTTACCTTGGAACGAAAAACTTTTTTATGCTTAGCGGTGTCCATACTCTAAATTTAATAATTATTAAAATACATAACGATTATAATAATTTTTTTTCAATATAGTTCAAGAAATGTACATAATATTACTGATTATTTAAAGCATTTTCACTGATTTTTGGACAATTTAAAAATACGTTAAAAATTTGTCTTTAAAACAACAAATTGATACTCTGAATATGACGGGAAAGCAAGGATAAATACAATTCGGCTCTTACGATATCAATAAGAAGAAGTTTACGACGCAATTTTGGATATTGTAAATAATGAAAAATTAAATTCAATTAAAATTTAAAAAATCCAACATGAAATAGTGTTATGATTGAAAATGAAAAACTAGTTTTTTTAGCTCTCTTGGCATGGTTTGCTCAATAGAATAAATCGCATAATAAATAAGTAAAATATTTGAAAACCCATATATTAATATTGCACATACGTTAAAAATAATTGAAAATTTAAAAATATTCGATTATAATCAACCCGTGGATCGCCTCGATTTTCTAAATAAATTTAAAGTCAATATATTTATACGCGTTTAGATTATATCTAATTTTTTGTGTACTAAATCCAGAATAATTGAAAATTAATTTTCAAAAAATATGTAAATATTTATATTATTTTAATGATAAACTATTAAAACAGTTAAAATTAATAAGGGGGGGGGGCGCTAGAAAAAAAGTTGCATGCGGGCGCTAAGGACACCAGGACCGGCCCTGCTGATGTTAGACAATGTTGTTAGCATTTAACTTTAAACAAATTTCTCAAAGATATCATATGTGCTATACAAAGTTGTGTATATCAACTATTTTATAACTATTTTATAATTTTTCGCAGATCGTTTGCAAAATCGAGCTGTTTTAAACGATTTAGACTTCTTGCGCACCAAAAATGCTACCTTGAGTGAAGGTGAGTACTATTTCTTGTTTTTTTGTAACAAAAAATTAATTACTCAAATATCATTGAACTCACCGTCGAGTTATTGAGAATAAAGTGAAAAAAAGTAATTATAGTGGCTATCAAATATTTGTAATTGGAAATTCTTCTTTTTAGCGCAGTATATATTTTATATACGATAAATATGAATACTAGATAAATTATTATATCTGAATTAATAATTTACTTCTTCCAAAACAAAATATTTACCACACGATTTGTATAAATTCATCTTACATTCCTTCCTATATTTCTTTTTTCTATTTTTATTTTACCCAGGTGGTTGCATAATAGATGGGACCATTTATTCCGCTGGTTCAGCAACCAGCAATTCCAATTCCTGTCGGGCCTGCTACTGTTCCCCAGATGGTACTGAACGTTGCGCCAGCGTGGAATGCGTTCCGACTCCACCAGGATGCATACCAGTAGTTTCCGGAACATCCTCCAAACCAGGAAGCCGGAAGCGATCGGCTGATGGCGGAAAATCCTGCTGTCCAGGCAGATACGTATGTCCAGAAAAAACAGATATTGTCTCTGTTAGGACGCACAGGACTTTGGGAGGTAACTCTAAATCAATCATTCAAGTGTACATTGTTTTCCTCATATTTTTTATTCAGGCGGTTGTGTGATTGGTGGTATTCAGTACAAAGAAGGAAGCATGATAACAGATAATCTGGGATCATTGTCACAGAATGATCCTTGTTCAAAGTGCATGTGTCTTCATGGTGTAGTAAAGTGCACGAGTGTTCCTTGCCCTGTAGTTGCACCTCTTGGATGCTCTCCTGTTTTCTCCACAACTAACACTCAATGTTGTCCTGAAAGATTTGAATGTTCTGCACAACGAGGAAGTAAGATAAAAAACCGTAGAATTTATGAAACACATGTGGGATAATTGTAACACATCAGGTATATACTGTGTCTGTGTTTTTAGGCTCTGAAGAAGTATCGGGCACCACAGTGTCTCAAAAAACAAAAATCAGCAAAATAATTCAAGACGTCCTGAAAAATTCAGAGACGACAACTCTATTCGATTTTGACAAATACGAAACCAGTGATCACAAATCCAATGAATCTTTGAATTCAGAACCTGTGACTCCAAAAGAAGATGTGTCCAAAAAACTAGCACAGAAGTTGAGACAGATCTTCAAGAAATCGATTGAAAACTACGAAACCATAGCCCTGAATAATGAAGGTAAGTATTTTTATGAAAACGGCAACAATAAATCAGGACACGACAAAAGGGATGTCAGCGGGATAAATATTACCACAGATTTTGTGGTAGATATGCCAGGGAATGAAACGAGAGACGAAAATAATGATTACGAACTGGATTATGATACTATGTTGCCCCCAAGTTTACCGAATGTTAGGTGAGCAGATAAAATAGAGCACAGTGATCAAAAAACACTTTTCTAAATGATATTTCATATATTTTTAGAATTATTAAGTTTGAAGCTGCGGATGCTTTGGGAAAAAATGCAGAAGCTGATGCACCTTATAAAATAAATTTGGTGTCTCAATCTCCCTTCGGGTAGTTACAAAAAAAATTTATCTTACTGAATAATTGACTACAAGTTTTAGTAATTTTTGTTTTTTTTTTAGAAATTCTGAAGATTCAACTTTGGACTATAGTGGAGGAAAAGGATTCGCACCTCCTGTAAAAACTGAAGGTGAATAATTATATTTAGCGCATAAAATTTATTATTCTCATCGACAACAACAAACACATTTCTATTCATAGGTGGTTTTCTTCCTGGAGAATCCATGCCCCTGTTCAACAATTATGTTATAAATCCGGATAGGTTTGTTTTCACAACAGCTGCAAATGAAATAAATACAAATGCACAAAAAATAAACTCTTTATTAAACTTCGATGATGATACATCATATAGTACGACTCAAGCATATGTTGATGATGAAGAAGAAATAATTTTATTGGAACCTAAAAACACCACAAGTGCTCCTGATTTAGAATCCGGGGAGTCTGAGTTAGATAAAGTACTGAATTATATATTTTCACCATTGGAAGAAAGTTTGGAAACTACCAAAACACCTAAAGAAAAAATTATGATAAACGTTTTAAAAGATCATGAAAAACCAAGTAATAGCTACGAATTATTGAAAAGAAATCCATTGCCAGCACAAAGAAAAAATATAACAAAATTCCATAATTTGGTACTGGACAATCATACCACACAAAGGTCTAAACTGGCAACAAAAATCAACACATCCAAAGATGTTGTTAAAAACATAATCAACAATGCACCAGTCATTGACATAAATACCACTAAAAAACCTTTAACTACAAACCCTCCTAAAAGGCCTACGGATCTTCAAGACTCTTCATCTGATAATGCAAATGTCATATTCAAATTGGCTGGTTGTAATATTTATGGTAAAATGTACTCGGTTGGGCAAGTTATTGTGGAACTAAGTAATCCTTGTACGGAATGTATTTGTGATAATATTGGTGTACAATGTAAAGATCTTTTCTGTTGAGATGGACTGTCGGTTTTAATTTCTAGTCGTACATAGGATTCATAGATCGAGGTATTAATTTTAAGCATGCAATTAAAACATGATATAATTATGAACAATATATATATATATATATATATATATATATATATCTATATATATATATATACATATATATTGTCTCAGCAAAGCTGATTTTACTTATGACCTTTTGTTATTAGAGATACTAGTTAAAAATAGTATTATGTTTAGATATATAGAATTGTTAATAAGAATAGGTATGTTAGTTTGATTATATTACTTGCGTATGTTATTCCATTGTTATTGTTAAATATTTGTATAAGTGAACGAATTATGTTTGTATTGTTGATTTGTGACTGTATGTCTATGGATATGTAGACTCGATATTATTATTTAAATAAATTCAAATATAAACTCATTTTTTCAGTTCAAATAAGTAATATATATATATATATATATATATATATATATATATATATATGTATATGATAGTAGTCTAAATGGGTGAACTTACATATTTGTAAATCCTTACAGTTGAAGGAATTCATAATTTTCATTTTTCAGCAACCAAGTAATTTCGACAACTCCTTTTTTTAACACTCGTTTTTTTTTTTAAGTTCTGTTTAATACTTATATTTATTATATATCCACTATAATATTTTAAATTTAACAAAATAACGACAGCAAATTCAGACAGTTGACACTTGAGCTGCCATCTTAATTGAATACTGTGAAGTCCTCTCTACTTTCCAACAGGTGGTGCCACGGTTTGCAAATATTTCTTGCGCAATCGCAATATTAAAATTTCATTCAGTTAACGCAATCGTTATGCAATTTCTACATTTACAAAAGGTATTGTATAATTAAATTAATATATCACAAAGCACATAATTTAATTAATACAATTATTCATTCTCTATTTTTTCATGTGTGGTACCTTTGTATGGCGCATGTGCAAATCAGCTGATAAAAGTCAAGCGTCCATCTTGCTGCTGTCATTTCGCCTTCCTACGCGGTGTCCGCACTTTCTGTGTCGAATTAATTATGTATTGTCAATGAAAAAACATTTGAAAAAACATCTAAATATGTTAAACCGAGTGTACAATAATGTGCCCGTGTTGTGGGAATAAACACTGTGTAAAAGTTCAATAAATAAATAAGTGATTAATCAAAACACAAAAAAGCATGTAAGTTTTGTTGTATCGATTTTGTATTATTACTTTTACCACAGGTAAATTTATGCAAGGAAAATATACATTCCGCAAATGTCTTTTAATGATTCAAGGTTGTTGTTTTTTATGTTATAATATGTTTATCTCCACGATTACCTTCGTTTTTTTTCGATTCGTGTAGAGTTTTGAAGGCGAACAGATAAATATTGACTTGTCTTGAATATTGTGCAAAAAGTATTATTCATATTAATTGAAACGGAAATATAATTAAAATTATATTCGGTCATTGTCATAACAATAATTAGTGTATGAAATAACCAAATATTTGTGACTATTTTGCATTTTTCTTAGACATGAAACTTGTAATGCCAGGAAATATTGAAGACAATAAAATTTTGCACAAATTTACTATCATTCGTATTCACCGATTACATTATTTTATATATTGTAATAAAAACCATCCACAAAATAATTAAATAATTAAAAAATTATGTATAACTTATTTTCCTGAAAATGAAGCCAAGTTCTTGTTAGGTCTAGTGGTGTTGAGAAATATTGTAGACGATAAAATTTTGCACATAATTGCCAAAAACAATGGCAATAAATCCACGTAGTTTAAGTTGATGATTAATTGTCATTTTCTTAAGACTTAAATCCTTGCAGAGTTTTGATCTGCTATAAAATATTATAGACCTCTAAATTTTACATAAATGGGCCCAAAACATTGTTCATATTAATCGAATGCTTTACTATATGTGGTAAAAAATAATCGATGCACAATTATTTTTCACTGCTTTTTCTGAAATGGGGCTAAGTACCTGTTGGATCTTGTGGTTTCAACAAAATATTGTAGACAATAGAATTTTGCAAAACCAATGGTATGATCATCTATCATGTACAAAATAATAAATTGTTGATGATTATTTGTCATTTTCTTTCAACTTGAATCCTTGTAGAGTCTTGATCAGCCATAAAATATTGTAGTAATCTAATTAAGGCACAGTTGTGCCTAAAACATTCTTTTATTAATCATATGCTCTACTATATATTGTAAAAAAAAATTAATGCACTAAATGATCAATTATTTGTAAATCCTTTTCCTGGCAATGAGACTATTTTTTCTGGTTTATTTTATATTGTAGATAAAAATAATTAACATTTAACTGCAAAAAATATGGAAAAAACTCCATGCACAAAATAATGAAATGTTTATTTTTTTTGAGACTTGGATCCTTGTAGGGTCCTGATTTGTTATAAAATATTATAGAGCTCTAAATTTTAAACAATTGTGCCTAAAACATTATTCCTCATAATCAAATGCTTTACTATATATCGTAAAAAATCCATGCACAAATGTTGATGCCTATTTTTTACTTTCTTGAGGCGTGAATTCCTGTAGAGACTCTTAGAGCTAAAATATATAGTAGGCAACTAAATATTAATGAAATATTGATGCCTTATTTTAATTTTCCATATCTTGTTAGACATCCTTCCATGTAGAGTAAATGAATAAATAAATAAATATTTATTTGCTCTACAAGGAAGCATGTCTAAAAATTAACAAATAAGGATTCATTAAAAAAAGTCATTGATAATAGATTACTTGCAGAGTATTTAGCTGTTACTGTAAACACTTATAATTTGCCAAATTTTGAAATAAATTTGTCAAAAGCAGAATTTTATACTTAAATGCTATATTATATATTATAAAAAACAAGTCGATAATATTCAATCTATGCACAAAATGATACATTTAAAAAATGCACAAATTTGAAGCATGAATAAATTACAAATTAATATTCATAGCTCTATGGAAAGCGCTCAGGCATATTTACCAATTTCAATTGCGATTTTAAAGTATATCAAGTTAATTAAGGACAAATATTAATAGTAGAACTTGTAGATAATCTAATTTACAACACATTTTCCAAACACACCATTTATATCAAACAAACATAATGTAATAGTTCTCTCTAATTTATAAAAGTCTTGCATATTTGCAAAAATCAGGATGCATCCTGGTTCTGTTTGGGACTTTAAGATAGTCCGATTTCATATATTAGGGGGAAGTCTACTAATGGCGGACACCTAAGGTTATTTATAAATAAATCATAAAATATTTAACGAAATGAAATGATTTATGTTAGATAACAAAGTTAGAAATCAAACGAAGTTAACAAAACCGCAATCTTTGCTAAAAAATAATTAATACTGTCAATCAAACTTTGGTATCAAAAAATATGATTTTGAACAGTGGCACCTAGTACCGGACATTTCAAAATAACCTGCATTGATCATATATGTAGCCATCTCCACACTCTGGAATGTCTGCACATGTGTCTTTGACGAATATTTTTACATATTGCAAAAAAGTCACTATTCATCCACCCTTTTGGCTAGGCCACACCGATGCCCTCAACTGGTGCATTCACCATAAGCTTTTCATTCTTCGACTAGGAAATACGAAAAATGGGGGTATGTAGTGACCGTTAGCATTCATACAGAAGTAAATTAAATAATTGGAATAAATTAAGTATATTATCACAAAAAATATTAAAATGTTTACTGTCCGGCACTAAGGGACGACTTAGTGTCCGGTGCTAAGGGACAGACATTTTTGTTCATTTGGTGACACTTACTAAAATTGGTTAAAAGATCTAATAATATTTTACCATTCTACTGATAACAATCAAGTACAATTTTCATCTTTGCATACCACTCAAATGTAAATGCATAAATATGCTAGAAAAGCTATTGATATTTAGGTGACGCCGTGATTTTGCGCCTAAAACAGGAAAGGGTTGTTCTCGTCGTGGCCGTGGGCGTCACAGGCGAGGTTTGGCGCGTGATCCTGTATCTGTGTGCTCCCAGTGCCCCTTTCATTTGTATTTTGAAATAAGATTTATACTTGCTTAAATAATACGTGTTAAATAGAGTGTCCGGTACTTGGTGCCGTCTGGCGTTACAGGACTTCTCCCTATTTAATATAGACTATTTAATTTTATACAAATTTGATGAATATTTTATTCGTCGAATATTAGTTACAAGATGTAGTAAACAAATGTGTAAACGTGTTGGAAGCCAATTGATGATATATGAGTTAATCATCTATATTCAAGTACTATTTTAAAGTACACTGAGTTGTTGAAGGACTTTGTGATTTCAGAAGGTATTATAGGCTATTTATTTTTGTACAAATTTGCTGAATGTTTCATATATTTTAGACAAAAAGCTTGAAAGCTGCAAGGGATTTAATAAATAATCACACAAGTATCAATTTCACTTTTGGATTCCCTTCATCTATGTTAAATTATCTATTTTATATATATATATATATATATATATATATATATATATATATTGCAATTTAAATGGTTTTTAATATTTTTTTAAGTTAATTGGATATTTTTTCGCACATGTGCAACCTGAAACCTTGTATTCGCGTTCGTCGTATTGTTTGTTATCTCTTCAGTATTGTTCTCGTATCAGATAAAACCGGTAATATAAATTAAAGGCTGCGAATGAAATTAACAGAGTCGAATTGTTCAAAAAAATTACTAAAAATTACATGATTTTCTATAAATGAATCAACTTCTATCATAAGAATCCGTCAAAACCAGACCGGCGAGATGTGTCTAGATATGTGTCTTCTTATTTACTCGTATGAGTATGTAGAAATGTAGTCCTCGAAACTATCATGATACTAGAAAAATTCGCAGATAATTTAATTTTGTACAAGTTTGTCTAATATTTTACAGAAAATGAGAGCATTTTTTCCATTATCAAACATGAATAAATTTCATCGAAAATTCTTTTGAAAACTTTAATTCCAACTTTCTTCAGTTCGGTGATAAATCATTGCATCTAAATCCTGATCCTCGAGAAACCGAAAAAGGATCAGGATTTGGGATTAGATAAAAGTTAGTAATTGAAGGACACGCCGGCTTTTTAGGACATTTACCTCTAAGGGTCGACGAACTTTACAAGAGAGATGTATTATATTTTATTTACCAAGCCCTAGGGATATAGAAGGAAGGACATTTATAAAAATGCCAATATTTGTATGGAGGACGAAAATTAATTTGTTTTTATTTATTATGAAAGGCACATTTAATGTTGATAAAATATTTGACAACATTAAATATTTTTCTACATAATTATATTTTTTTTATAATTTTAATATATTATATTCAAATGTATCTTTTAAAATGGTAAATATTAGCAAAAACTGATGTTTTATTTTAAGCAATGAAAAAACTTATTTTGTTTTTGAATGTATGCAAGTAAATACAAGCTAATAAATATAAGAAAGTTATGTATTTTTTATCGTTGGATCAAATTTAGCACTAATTTTGCAAAAATTCGCATAACACCTCTATTTATCAAGTGTACTATTTTTAGTTAAGACCTCTTATTTAAATTTATCTTATCAGTCGTATTTTAAACTCTCTTATCAGCTCTATATTGACTAACCCAGTAAAAGGTGGCCGAATGCGGATGAGAATAATTATTTTAAATTATTAAACAAACATACGGCACGTGTTAAAATAATAACAATATTTTAAGTATTATTATCATATTACCTATAATTTACTTCTAATTAAATTTTTCAGTTTTGAGAAAGACAATCTTCTAGTTTTGTGAAAAACAATTAGATCAAATAGGATTTTCATAGAGGAAAAATTGTTTATTTACATAACTAATATGCTTTATAGAGCACATCGCTGATATGGAAACAAATAATAGGATTTATAGATTTTTTCATAAAATCTTAAGATATAAAAATGCTTACAATACAGCACTGTATTTTGGTATCATTTTTTTCGTTGATTATAATCAAGGAGCTCCACAGGTCGTACTGCTTGTACTAGGATAATGCAATTTGTACTGTTATTCCTTAAAGGGCAAAATTGATGATTATTTTAAATTTGAAGATTTTTTCAATCTTTGCTCTTGCCAGTACTAATAATTTTATACACAAACTAGCTGACCCGGCAAACGTTGTTTTGCTAAAT